AGTGGAGTAACATATATGAATATATATATTATCCTCCAGATATATACTGTCACTCATAATGTGATATAGAATCCTACTTATAAATATATAATTAAATACGGCACCATGATAAACGATTCTTATTAAGAAGAAGACATAATGATAAGACAGGGAAGATATGTTCTCAAGAGTAATACAAAATGGTATCTTGGTGGCCATAGTCTCTATTCTGTCTCGTTCTCACGATGTAATACGCAATAGAAGTTAAAGGATATATTACAACTGTATCCTGCCCAATAGCGTCATGTATATGGTTGTATATTATATGATTGTATCCTATATTGTCATTATATAGATATCTAAACACATATATAGAAGATTTTATAGATATGTAGCTGTTCTTTCATACGCATGTTTTACGAATTCATTTATCTCTACCTATTCCATGATTCTGTCCAGAGTACCGCTCAGAGTTATCATGAGGAGCCATGTCACAGAAATGTAATCAGAAATCTACTCTCCGCCATTATTGTGGGAGACGCACTTCATACAGGAAGGAAACTATTTTCATTCAATGCCACTGAAGAGTCACAGGAATATCCGTTGGGTAAGAATAATAAAACAGATAAATTACAATTGAAACATATCCAACATGTACTCTTTCCAGAGAAAGTCATTAAGCGATGCCAAATAGATCTCCTAAAAGACATCGTATTACCAAATCCAAAGCCAGTAAACGGAAAAAGCGGCACATTGGAAAATGTTATCACGCCCAGTAGACTCATGGAAGAATCTGAATGGAGCACACTGCTGCGAAGCCTGTTAGGGAAAGTGTCACAGGAGGTAAGGAATGGACAGAAGGAACTACCGAGATATCCAAACAGAATAAGACACATATTGAAGTCATTGCAAGGTAATATATTTAAAAGGCGTCTTATGAAGCAAATAAAGTTAAAAGAATGGGATAAGACCCTCTTGAACACGGACTTCAGAATTGATTACATATTAAAAGAGTTAGAGACACATTCGCCGACTCATATGTTATTAGTCATGACAATGCTACAAGAATTAGTAAATATTATAGTAGGAAATAGTCTAGTCAATAAGTCCCAATTGACAACTTCGGAAAGCATTCTACTTACCCATAAATCCATACAGAAGGGACAATTTAGTCACTTGATGATACTGCTGTTTCATCTACTCAACCATACTCCTTATTTAGAAAGTAATGTGTCTATACATGAAGCCAAATATTTAAATAAAATTACAGTAGACAATACATGGATGCTACTGGCAACAAAGTATCTGGTGCTACCGGTTGAGACACAGCAAAACTACGCATATGCCAGTAGAGACAGTTCAGCTAACGAGGGTAATGAAGTAGGGCTTAACACGGAATCAATACAGGAAGCTAATCTCGCAAATGAAGTTCATGTTAAGGACATGTTCGATGGAAAACAAGCAGCTGATGATCCAGAGCAGGATTCTCTAACAGGTGATTGTAACTTATTTAGAAAATTAGGAAACTTGGAAGAAGAAAAGCCGCATAGATCTGAAATGCTACACGGGAATATCATTAGAGATGGAATCCATGCTTATAAAATAGATGACTTCCCAAAGAGCAATCATCGCTTACGTGAAAGAGCTGTAAACATAGAAGATGATTTATTTAAATTATGCCAATCTATACAGAAAGATTCAGAAGACTGTACAAATGAAATGTCATGGAACGTTGATTCAACATATAAGGCTGCATTATCTCCAGATAGTGGTTTATGTAACTTCTACAGATCCATAAGGCACGGCCCAATTGTAAAAGAAAAAAGATTACTTTTAGAGGAATCTGCAGAAATAGGTGATGACCAAGGAAAAGATGAATTACGACCGGGGAGAGATTCACCAAGAAAAGCTACCGTAGCAGCGGGAATTCATTTCTTAATAATAAATAGAGCTGTCAAGACAAATACAAAAGGAACAACCAAAGTAGGAACATTCACCCACCTTAGAAATGGAAAGAACATCGATATAAAGCAAAAGGACCAGTTCCTGAGAAAATTGAATTCCTTGGAAAAAGATGAAGTTCTCTTCACAGAAAGAATACTACCTGGAGTTGCCTGCACAGTCAGACAGAATGCAGTGAAGACACGGAACATGTCGGAAGAGGGTAATTCTTTGAAATCAAATTACGGCTTGTCTAAGAGAAGATTATCATGGAAACATAGGTGTTTGAGATCAGTTGAAGTTAGCACTAGAAACAAATCGTCGAAAAGAAGTCATTCCTTGAGCATAATTGATGCAATCTTCGAAGACAAATTCTCCGAA